GGCTTGGAGAAGTTTGCGGGTTGTGGGGGAGTCGGCCGTCGGATGCTGAATTCCGACAGTGTCGGTACTCCGAGAGTTCGGTACGGTAGGTGTAGGTAGGAGTGAGCGACTATTTTTGGGGTTTCAGTATGTTGGTTTTTGTGTTGCAGGTTTGTGAGGGGGGGAGGATTGGTGGACGGGATTGTCTGGAGGTGGCGTTGTGAGACGGTCACGATGGACGGGGGCCGTAGCCGGTGCATTGAGGTCGGCGTAGCGGGGGCTTCCTCTGAGGGCTTAGCCGAGAGGGTGGTTGGGATTGGATGTGCTATTTTCAGGCTCGAGGCTGGGACTCTTCGCTGGAACTGTCGGTTTTTGACGTTCTGTGTCCTTTGCACTTCTGTTGGTTGTCTATTTTTGAGGCTCGAGGCTGGGAGTCTTTGGTGGAACTGTCTGTATTTTCAGGCTGGAGACTGGGACTTTCAGGCTGAGACTGTCGGTTGTCTATTTTTGAGGCTTTGGATTGCGCCGTGAATTGGTTCCTCGGAGGAGTCTATTTTTGACGCTCTGTGTCCTTTGCACGTCTGTGCATGGTTGTATTAAGGCGTCGAGTCTTAATGTGTCCAGTGTGCACTTTGTCTTCTCTCACGATGTTCTTATGCGTGTATGGCTGTGTATGAGATTGTCGGTGTGTGAGTGGCGGTGAGAATCGTCAGACAATGAAGTTCGTGCATTGTCCAAGCAGGGTTTGTACCATGGTTAGTGGTTATATATTGTACCGTTTTTGGGAAAAAGTGAGAAGTCCATTAAAGACCAAATATCGAGGCCGGGAATCCTCACAAACAACCCGGATAGACTCAAAAAAAAAAAAAAAAAAAAGAAAACCTTTTATTTATTGTCACAGTGTGAACAAGAGCGCAAAAGCGAGAAAGAGAAGAACAGCGGAGAAAACAAGAAGGGAGGGGAGGAGGCAAGGAAAGCTCCATGTGTTGATGACGTGTTACGTAGAAGGCCACTCATGTATACGGAGATGAGGGATTCGATTGCTGCGTGCTGGGACTCGGTTGCTGCGGGCTGGGACTCAGTTGCTGCGCGATGGGATTCGGTTGCTGCACGATGGGACTCAGGTGCTGCGGGATGGGATTCAGTTGCTGCGCGATGGGACTCGGTTACTGCGTGCTGGGACTCGGTTGCTGCGTGCTGGGACTCGGTTGCTGCGCGCTGGGGCTGGGTTTTGTGTGCTGGGACTCGGTTGCTGCGTGCTGGGATTCGATTGCTGCGTGCTGGGATTCGGTTGGTGCGTGCTGGGATTCGGTTGGTGCGTGCTGGGATTCGGTTGCTGCGGGCTGGGACTCAGTTGCTGCGCGATGGGATTCGGTTGCTGCGCGCCGGGACTCGGTTGGTGCGGGCTGGGATTCGGTTGCTGCGTGCTGGGACTCGGTTGGTGCGTGCTGGGGCTGGGTTGCTGCGTGGTGGGACTCGGTTGCTGCGTGCTGGGGCTCGGTTGCTGTGTGGTGGGGCTTGGTTGCTGCGTGCCGGGATTGGGTTGCTGCGTGCTGGGACTCGGTTGGTGCGGGCTGGGACTCGGTTGCTGCGCGATGGGATTCGGTTGCTGCGCGCGGGGACTCGGTTGCTGCGGGCGTGCTGGGGSTCCGTTGCTGTGTGCTGGGGCTCGGTTGCTGCGTGCTGGGACTCGGTTGCTGCATGGTGGGAGTCGGTTGCTGTCTGCTGGGGCTCGGTTTTGCGTGCTGGGGCTCGGCTGGTGTCTGCTGGGGCTCGGTTTTGCGTGCTGGGGCTCGGTTGCTGTCTGCTGGGGCTGGGTTTTGCGTGCTGGCGCTCGGTTTGCTGCGTGCTGGGGCTCGGTTGCTGCGTGCTGGGGCTCGGTTGCTGCGTGCTGGGGCTGGGTTGCTGCGTGCTGGGGTTGGGTTGCTGCGTGCTGGGACTCGGTTGCTGCGTGCCGGGACTCGGTTGCTGCGTCCTGGGACTCGGTTGCTGCGTGCCGGGACTCGGTTGCTGCGT